CTCCAGTATACTGGCCTGGAGAATTCCATGGACTGTATAGTCCATGGGGTCGCAGAGAGTTGGACACGGCTGAGCAACTTTCACTTTCAGAAAAGAACAGTTTTATTGCTTTGCCAGGCAAAGAGGCCCACAGTGGGCTAATGTCCTCAAAACTGCATGTCCCCAATTGGAGGGGTTAGTGAAGAGTTAGTGTTCAGGGAACAGGGCATGGTCAACTCATGGACATTCTAATTGGTTGGTGGTGAGGTCACTACGAGTCAGTATCATCAACTTCTAGGTTCCAACTGGACTGGGGTCTACGTGCTTGTGGTCAGCATACAGTTAACCTTTTCCACCTGGTGGGGGTCTTAGTATCTGCAAAACAGCTCAAAAGACGTGGCTCAGACCATAGTCCTTGAGGAAGAACTAAAGATTCTTGACTTTAATGGCTAATGATTATTCTGTCTTATTTGACATTTTCTTGCTCCTCTGATTAAAATTTATTCTTTGCCACCTTTGTGGAGGACATGGGTGGTGGTGGGGGTCTATTCAGGGAAGGCCTCAAGGGTCCTGCTCGGTTATAGTGAGGGGGCCGAGACAGGAGAAAGACAACCCCATTCAACAAGTAGTTAATAAATACATGTCACTTAATCCAGGGGGCTGGTAATAACCTAACCACTCCAGCCCCATGCTAGGCAGAATGACTCCCTCCCTCCCTGGGCACACCCAATAACCAGTTCACCCCCCAGGACTTCTGAGATCGCCTCAGGGTCTTCTGTCTCCTTTTCCCTAAAGATAGCACATAGCCCAGTCCAGGGTGGACACTCTGGAATTATCTCATTAGTTCCTGTGACTTAGAATGACTTTAACAACAAGAGAGTTTAGAGCAGAACCACAGGACCTACAAGTACTGGAGGATTCAGGTCCAAACATGTTTGTGAGGAAAAGCAAAAATCAGTGTATACAAGACAACTTCCCAACAGTATCTCTTCAAGGAAAATCCCACTACATGCTTATCAATGATTCCTTGTCTGAAGCTGAAAGGGACAAGGTTCTCACATGGACCAACTTTTCTGCCAAAATCCAGCTTACTGGAGAGAGAACAAGGATGAACTACATAACCAGCCTCCTGCCCAGGTACAGTTTAGGAATCCCTATAAAGTAACACTTCTATTCCCGTGTAAAGGAGAAATACAATGTGCTCTTCTTGGCTCACTAAGGAGAACAGAATCTTAGAAGGCCTATTCCAGCCATATTAAACACAAGATAAAGGCTGAATACACTGTTCCAGTAACCATGTGTGTGTTAGTTGGTCAGTTGTGTCCAAATCTTTGTGACCCCATGGACAGTAGCCTGCCAAGCTCCTCTGTCCATGGAATTCTCCCGGCAAGAATACTGGAGTGGGTTGCCATTTCCTTCTCCAGGAGATCTTCCTGACCCAGGAATCAAACCCGGGTCTCCTGCATTCCTGGCATTCTTTACCATCTGAGCCACCGGGGAAGCCCCTCCAGTAACCATAAAGTACTGGTAAATATATATAAAATGCTGTTTCTTTCATGTGAGATAAGCATAATTTTAATTTCCTTCCACAGGGAAGGAGTTATAATCTTTAGAGTGCTATGGCATCATGGTTCTGTATTCAAGTAAAAGTCAATAATACACAAGTATTTATGCTGAGTCCCAAGTTCATCACTGAGACCAAAAAAAAAAAAAATCCAAACAAAACACAACAAAAGCACACAAACAAAACAAACAAAACACAGCGAGGAAATAGGTTTTCAGTGGTGGAATAAAGAACTAAGATACACTATTAATGTGCTTTCACTAATGGAGATGAATTTGAATAAAACCACTGATTTCTTATAACTTTCCTTATTCAACTGCAAAAGTGCTCTCTAAAAGAAAATAATAATCTATACCAAAGACTGCTAATCTTTTTTTTCAAACTCCTAGAAATCTATTTTGGGAAAGAGATGTAATTTCAGGCTGCTTTGATACTATCAAAGTAAATAGTTTTAATAGGAATTGGTCAGTTCAAGTTTTAACTTCAAAAGAAAACTGACACATTTTGAAGGATAATAGAAATTTTTTAAGGATATTCATAAAATCTGCAGATCTGTAACAATGTCATTAATCTTGACTTTTACTACCTTATTCTTGTAATCACCCCGTTAGGGTGGGTTTAAACAGAGAACCAGGAACAGGGTCCTTGAAAGCCTCTTTCCTCAGAGGGGTCATCTTACCTCACACCACATTAACAAGTCACTTATACCTGCCTGAAGCAAAATGAACCTGGGGAGACTCCAGTGCTTTTGCAATTTTTAAACGTTCTCCACCTCAATGCCCCCTGTCATCAGCTATTTGAATTTTTAGACTTCTGCATTACTTGAGTCTGGCTCCTACAACCGATCAGAGGCAACAGTAGCCCTGGGTTCACTCCTGCGTGGCCTCCCTTCACTGTTCTGAGCCTCAGTTTCCTCATAAGACTGCAAGACGCCTGGAGTGTCTGACATTGAGGAGGACCCAGCCTGCAACACATCTTAATCTTTTGTTGGGCAGAATTCAGCCCATCTTCTCTCAAATCCTGCTTGTAAACAGCATCACAGAAAATGGCCAGCTGACAAAACCAGGAATGCTAGAAAGAAAATTTAAAAAAAATTTTAATGACGTGTCAAAATGCATCCCTGGCAGGTTTGGGGAAACCCAAGTACCAGACCCATCAGACCAGCAAGGGGACAGCAGAACATAGAATTCAATCTTACCCTCAAGTTAAGATAAAACGAAGCTGTAAAGCCCCAAACAAACATCATTAGATTGGTTCCGAAGTTCCCGGGGCTCCAATATTGTGTTGTTTGAGTTCAAGTTAAGCCAGCAACTGATCAAAGGGTGGTCTCTGAGCTAACACCACGGGAAGGATCTGTGGGTTGTGCTTTGCAGTTAGAGACATGGGGCAACAGCAGACACAGGAGCCATTCTCTCCAACTGCAGTTTCCAACAAAGAGACACGTGACTGTAACTCTGACCCTGAGTCACCACCTGCTGGCCTTGCTTCACCAGGGAGTTGAGAGGCTGCTACCACCGTCTCCAGCCCCGTGCTCTGCTAGTGTTCTGATACAGCCAACCATGTGCTGTGCTGCCGGCAAGCTCTAACGCAGGAGAATCTTGGGTGATGGTTGACACAAACGGCAGAAGTGAGGACCCGCCCCAGTTCAAGTATGTGTTTTTTGTCATGTTTGCCAAACTCTGCCTTAAAGGCATGACAGCAAAACTGACAAAAGAATAAAAATCCACACAAATCCTGAGATACGTGGCACTCGTACACACAGGAAATAGTGCTGCATACCCACCATGCCCCGGGGAGGACAGTGGCGCTTGCTTCTGCTCCTTGCAGCCCTGGAACAGGAAGACGTCCTGGGCTGGATGCAGGGCTCTACTTTGCCCCTAACTGTGCTCTGCGTCTTCTCAGGTGGTGCTAGTGGTAAAGAACCTGCCTGCCAATGCAGAAGATGTAAGAAATGTGGGTTCAGTCCCTGGGTCAGGAAGATCCCCTGGAGAAGGGAATGGCAACCCACTCCAGTATTCTTGCCTGGAGGATCCCATGGACAGAGGAGCCTGGTGGGATACAGTCCAAAGGGTTGCAAAGAATGGGACACGACTAAAGCTACTTAGCACGCCTGCACGTGTTTTGGGTCAAGCTTCACATTCCCACTTTTCCCCCTTTACTTCCAAAATGTCTAAAGCCGCTCATGGCTCAGAAGTTGTTCTCGCTAACAGCAGTGATGGCAACCACTGAATGGATGCCTCTGGGCTCCAGGTACGGTGCTGTCAGCTTTTCACAAATTAGTTCCTTTGATCACAACCCGAGAACACCCTTTACTATCTCACTGTCTGGATGAAAAGAGTGAGGTTCAAAGTGGTTAACAATGAAGGGACCAAGCCAGGGCCTGACTCCAGGCCTGATTCCCAAGAGTCTTCCTTCCTCTGGACACAGCACCCCTGCATCCAGCCACTACATGGCAGCTCGTCCCCAACCAGACCAGAACATGGGGACGGTCTGGGGTAAGCCGGCCTATCTGAGATTCAAGAGGCCCACAGCATATCTCCATCTACCCCGCTGCCCTTCCTCCTGTTAACCCCCCTGGCCTAATCCTTCCAACACTTGTTCCAGGTCCCATTTCCCCTGTAGCAAGAGGTATTAAGGATGATAGTTAACACTGGTTAAAGGGGTGATTCTTCTCTTTTAAATTTTATTCTATTATTTTTTGAAGTATTTTTAAAAAATTTACTTGGCTGTGCCGAGTTTTAGTTGCGGCATGCAGGATCTTCGATCTTCGTTGCAGCGTGTGGGAAATTTAGCTGTGGCATGTGGGATCCAGTTCTCTGACCATGGATGGAGCCGAGCTCGCCTGCATTGGGAGCGCAGGGTCTTAGCCACTGGACTAGCAGGGAAGCCCCAAAGGAGTGATTCTTACCCTACATACCAGCGGCTGAGGGACTTGTGGGCAGAACCTACTCAGGTATCAGAAAGTGGCCCGGCTCTCCTCCTACAGAGTGAACAAGGACCGAGACCAATCTAACCAGGGCACTGAAACGGTACTATAGCTAAACAACAGATTCAGTTTCAAACGAGCTGGTTCCCTATAGCTCTGGTCACAGGCCACCCCAGAACCCCCAAATCTAGTCACCGACCAATCTGTCTTTGGCTGAAGATGAACTGGGTCAGATTGGACAGGACAGACTTACACAGGAACCCCCGTGAAGAGCAGAAGTCCTGGCTGGACAAGGGTTATTACACACGAAGGACTGTTTGGACCGCTCCTGGGGGAAACACTGCAACTCACACATACATTTAAACCACACAAAAAATCAACCCCCGTAAACTCTCTAAATGTCTAAAAAATGACGTGATGAAAACAAATGCTTTCTAGTCTGATCAAGTTATTTTTTGACTTGTCACATTTGGTACTATTTCCCATACAAGAATATTTTAAGTACAATAATTTTCACTGCTACAGAATTAGAACGTGGGATAAGAATATATTTTATTTTTCTCATAGAAGTTCTACCAAAAATATACTTTTTTCTTAACTTAAAAATACACCTTTGGAAAGCAAAACTCGAGTTGTTACAATTCACTACATGTTTTACAAACAATCGTGAAAGGAAAGAGATCAACAGGATGGATTCAATTATTACATAAAAAAATGTTCATTTTAAAAGCTTGACCTTGTCCTTTAATAACTTCAGGGTGGGGTTCTTGCTGATTTTCTTGTTGAAGATGACTAGGAGTTCCTCTTCAGATTTGTGATGTTCATTTGTCACCGCATAATACTGAGCTAAAACCTTCACAAAGAAAAAACAGCGGTCAAATAGGTCTTTGTCCTGAAAATTTACCCACAGTGTTAGTCCTCTGACCCCCAGCACGGCAGACAGCAACAATTCAAAGAGCCCAGGTGCTGGTTACTCGGGGGGGTCCTGCTTGTGGCAATTCACACAGAGGCACACGTGTGACACTTGGCTGCCTGAGTCAGACACCAGTGAAAAAAAATTATGAAGAGGGGAAAAAACACTGTTCTGGAATAATCAAAAGACAGTAACATAGCTAGAGCAGTAATTTTCAGACTTAACACTGGTGCTGCCCTGGCTGAGGAGGTGTGGATGGGGCATGACTCTAGCCCCACCCGCACCCTGAAGGACCAAAAAACAGCAGCTGGAAAGTCACTGAGACATACACACACCTACAAGTTTACAGTATTTCAGATGTAGAGAAAACACAACAAAACCATACATTTTAAAATAAAGAACGGATTCTCCCCAGCTTATATACCTGATTCACACCCTTCATACCTTTTTCCTTAGCTTCTTGATTGTTATTTCATGGTCTGGGGCCTGTTTCAGAACTGCTTTAATAGTTCCCTTCCAGTTGAATTTGCCTACAGTGTAGAAAATAATTTGTAAACCACTGTGTTTGTGGCACTCCCAAAGGGCTAAGAAACAGCTGTGTGTGAGAGATCCGGTCTCCCTATACCCCGGCCAACGTTTGGTAGTGGTGCTACTTTTGTAAAGCTAGTTTTCAGTCTTGCCTCATTTCTGCACCACCTATTTGCTACACAGGAAACGAACAAGACCAGAATGAACTGGACGCCACAGTACTGTGTAGCAGGCACCTGACCTGTCCAATCACAGTGGCCGAGAGGCACTGACTATCGTCTGCAATACTCATTCTCAGTGTGACCAGAAAAACTAAGGATCATTAAGTACCACCATCCTACAAATTCCAGTAGAAAGACATGAATTATATCTAATGAATTCAAGATTTACTAAGGATCCACTAAGATCAAGGGGCTGTCTAAACACAGTAAGCAAAGCAAAGGAGCTGAACCTTGAACCAGAGAAGACGGCCACCAATGACTACTGTCAGTAGGCTAGGGCTCATCTAGGGAACCTCTGTTTCTGGGAAGATGAAGACGAGTATGGAGAAGATACATAATGCTAATGAAAGAAATCAAAAGATTTAAATCAACAGACATGCCATGTTCGTGGCTTGGAAGACAACACAGTAAATAAAGTGATCGATTCTCCCCAAACTGATCCAATTCCTCTATCATCACGGCAAGACTTTTTATAGATATAGGCAAGATTATTATAAACCTTCTAATTTTGCAAAAGAACAAAGTGAGGATAAGGCTACCCATTTTCCAGACTTTGGATATGCCTACTCTAGTCGAGATGTGTGGTGGAGGGACGGATGGACACACACAATGCAAGAGAACCCAGAACAGACCCACACCGATGCTGGACAAAGGCACTTCACTGAGAGAAAAGACGGCCTTTTTAAATGGTGTGGACCAACCAGACATCGATGAGCAAAGAAACAAACCTTCAACCGTTTCATATCTCATAAAAATTAACTCAAAATGGATCATGGACTTGACTGTAAAATCTGCAACTGCAAGATATTTAAGAAAAAAAAAACAGAAAATAGACAAAAAAACCTTTGGGGATTTAGGGCCAGCGGAGTTCTTAGACGACTTCAGAAGTATCATCTCTTAAAGGAAAAATTGACATATGAGGCTTCATCAAGACCAAAAACTTGCTCTACAGACGCAATACCACCACCAAATGCTGATCAGGGTGTAGGAAGACAGGATCTCTCACACACTGCTGGTGGGAATACAACACGGCACAGCTACTCGTGAAAAACCTGGCTGTTTCTTAAAAAACTAAACATGCAAGTGATGTACCAACAGCCACTGCACCTCCTGAACATTTCTTCCAGAAAACACGACATAGGAAAGCCTCTACATGAGTGCTTACAGCAGCTTTATTCATCAGGACCAGGGACCGAAGATAATCCAGATGTCCGTCAACAGATGAATGGATAACCAAGCTGTGGGACACTCACACAACAGACCACTGCTCACGGAGCAGAGGAATGGGCTACTGAGATGTGCGGCAACCTGGATGAATCTCCCTAGAATAAGGCTGAGTGAAGAGGACCAATCTCAAAAGGTTACACAGTGTGAAGTCAAAGTCACTCAGTCGTGTCCAACTCTTTATGACTGCATGGGCTATGCAGTCCATGGAGCTCTCCAGGCCAGAATACTGGAGCGGGTAGCCTTTCCCTTCTCCAGGGGATCTTCCGAACCCAGGAATTGAACCGGGGTCTCCTGCATTGCAGGTGGATTCTTTACCAGCTGAGCTATCATATCAGGGAAGCCCACTACACAGTAAATGATGCCATTTATGTCACATTCTGAAATGACACAATTTCAAAGCAGAGAGGTACATGGAAGTAAGGGACAGGCTGACCTCTGGGGTAGAGGTGGGTGGGGCGAGAGGAGTGGGTGTGGCTGTAATGGGGCAGTGGGAGCGTTCCTTTTGGGGACGGGAATGTTTGTCTCTTGACTGTTCAGACCTTGAACAGTCAAGGTGTTGAACCCAGGGGAGTTTTGTCCTACAGCTGTGGGAGGTCTCGGCCTCAGAAGAAACTGGGTAAGGCCACAGAAGGATCCCTGAGGTCTAATTATTTCTTAAAATTGCATGTGAATCTACAATTACCTCAGAACTAAAAGTTTTAAGTTAAAAAAACAACTTCACATATACAAAGTTACAAGCTAAGAAATCTAACTAGCCTTGGGCAGTTACTGAACTTGCATGAATCAAGTCTCAAATCCCATTTGAGCCCTCGGGACTGTTCTCAGTGGCAGGCCTGGGGAGTGTGCCCGCTCTGGGCAGTGGGAACAGCTCTGCAGAGGAGACAGCATTGAAGAGGAGCCCTGGACTGCCCAGGTGGCTCAGCTGGTCGAGAATCTGCCTGCCGTGCGGGAGACCTGGGCTCGATCCCTGGCTTGGGAAGATCCCAGGAGAAGGGAATGGCTACCCACTCCCGTATTCTGGCCTGGAGAATTCCATGGACTGTGTAGTCCATGGGGTCACAAAGAGTCGGACACGACTGAGCGACTTAACGCTTCCACTTTGGAGTCTGACAAGCACACATTCTGGCTGAAAGAGGGTGGCCGTGGAGCTCCAAGCAAGGGGACACCAGGGATAGAGCCAGAGACGGGAGGAGGAACAGTCCAGCCTGTTCCTGCACCCTGGACCTCAGGGCACATCTATGGGCGTGATAAGAAGCAGGGACAAGAAGGGGCTTACTCCAAAGACAATAGACATCTCCAATCCAGACAGCTCTACATTATATCCTTAAAGGTGGAGAGACCCTTGTGAGACCGACTGAAAAGAGTGCTCACTATTACTCTGCAGTCACACCCTGGAGCACGGGTTTTGCTCCAGACTCTTTCCCATGCATCCAGAGGGCACGACCCACCCGACAGGCCCAACCCTCCCCCTTCTCCCCCAACCTGGAGAGGGCAGAGCTGCAAAGCACAGCAGCCATACCTTTTGCAGGAGCCTCATGGTTTTCCAGTTCTCCATCCACAGAATTTTCTGGGAGCTTAATCTTTTTCTTCTTAGAAGCTGATTCAACTAAGTCATTAGGAAGATTAAAAAAAAAAAGATTTCACATTTATAACAGCACCTACCATTTAATGAGAGGCCTACAGGGCCAGGCTCCTATAAAAAAAACCCCATCACCTTGCTCATGCCCCCAAGCACCCCAGCCCTGAGGCGGCGGGCTTCTCCTCCAGGGACAGTTGAGAGGTGGTGTTGCCTGCCGTGGACTAAGCCCAGGTTGGCCTGCCACCAAACCTTATGCTCTTTGCTGCTAGTGGGTTCAAACGGCAAGGTCTGACAGATTTTTATCCATTCCCAACTCACAGCTTAAACACTTAACAAACCCTCGGAGCGTTAAGTGAGCCACAGACCTCCCGAGTGCTTGCGCTTTCTTTTGCCCGGACCGGCGTCTGCCTGCTCCCCCGCCTTGGCGCCTCCATCCACCGCCCCGTCCTGGGCGCGCTCGGCCTTGCTCTTCTTCCTCTGGCTCTTCGCCCCCGAGGAGCCATTGGCCGCCTCCTGCTCAGCCTCCCGCGCCGCTTTGCACTTTTTAGGCTTCTGACTCTCTGCATTGTCCTGGTGGCTTTCGAGTCTTAGTTCTTTCTTTTCTTTTTTCCTGCTTTGCTGCCGGTCTGCCTTCCTTGCCCTCTTATCCTTCTTGGCCTCTGCACGCTCCCCCGCGCTGCTGTTTGCTTTGGAGGGCGGGGCCTCGGGGTTGCTCTCTGCACACGGCTTGCTCGCTGGCTCTGCCGGCTGCTGATCTGGCCCCTTACCGACGGGTTCCTTATTATTAAGCAAAACCAGGAAACACATAAATACTCATTCCAGACACACATCATTTTATCTACTGCATAAATTTCTCTAAGGAAACTGTTGTTACTTACCATTTTATAACTGCGACCCCTCCAACCCCATAGCTTACACGTAGCAATATATACACAAAGTGAGAAAAAACCACCCCCAGCCCACATTCCTCTCTGCATTTAATAGATATTTTCATTCCACTGGAAAAATGAAGGATCTCTATGTCATGGAAAAGCCAGACCTTTAATTCTGGCTCACTAGCCGCCTGTCAGATAGAAGACAAGCATGTGGGTGTGGCAGAAACCATCAGACTGATGCATCTGCAGGCCTGGGTTCAATTTCCAGCTCTGTTCACTACTAGCCAGGTGATTCAGGTCAAGTTATTTATCTGCTCCAAACCTATTTCCTCATCTATAAAAAGAAAAGGTGGTGACACATACCCGATACAGTTTATGTATGAGTAAAATGAGAAAGGAGAAAAGCCAAGCTTGAGAAAGCAGCTGGATGTGCAGGGAGAGTTTTGTAAACTCGAGTACTAGACAGAGGTGCCCTTATCACCATCACTGTTCAGCTGGATGGCTACCCCGAGAGGGACGTCAGGGAGGGACACCTGGGTGGGACGTCAAGAACAGTAAGTAAGGAACCATGGAAACACGCACTGGAATCAGACAGACTGCCCATTTACTGCACCACCTGACTCAAACCGAGTGACTTCAGCTGCACTCTGACTATAGACGTGCTGCGGCCTCCACGCCTGCCCCTTCCCAAGAGAGGACGTGAGGCAAGTCACTGAACTGCTCCATAAGCCCTGATGTGTCTGCAGGGGCAGGGCCACGGTCAGCGTCGGCAGCTCCGGGGCAGCTGCAGGTGCTCCGCAAACCCCTGGACTCACGGTCAAGTTCCAGCTCTGTGAAGTAAGCGGCCAGGTGACTGACACCGTCATCGAGTCCTCCTCCTTTCAGAGGCGAGGTCACGAGGGGACCAAATGGAGGAGGACTGGCTTTCACTCCGGTACAAGCACTCTGCTGAGCTCATGAAGCCCGTAAGACCCAGTCACAGGCTCAGAGAGTAGTATTTAGGGTACTGAGACTAAACTAAACAGCTGGAGTTTTCTCAGGAGGAATTCAGAGATCAAATCATCCAGGCACACATGGCGGGGGGAGGCGATGAGTTCAGAAAGGACCCGGGAGGAAGGGAGACCTGGCCACCTCGCCCTGTCCTACAAGTTCTGTCCTGTGGGATGGTGTGTCACGAGCTTCAACCCACCAGGGTCTGAGCACTGCAGCCCCAGGCCTGCCCCCTTTAGCCAAATCTCCAGCTGCTGCCCTGCCTCCAATTCCTAACCAAGCCTGCCCTCGGCGCCCCAGATTCTGGGAGAGAGGGGAAGCAGGAGGGGAGGAAGGAGGGAGGGAGACACACACTGACCCACCAAGCAGTCACTCAATCAATGAGTGAACAGATTTACTCCCCATCAGCTTCCTACTTCGTTCCAGGCTCTACTCCAACGTGGTCTCTTCAGATACGATTTCACTGCCTCTGTCCTGACAGCGAGACTTTCCCCTTCTTCACTCTCTGCCCTGACCTCTGCCTCCCATTTCTTTCTGGCCCTTGTCACCACCTGATATCACAGCATCAGCCCTTAGAGCAACTGTCGGTCTCTCCTGCCAGAATACAGCTCCCCCGCTGGGAAGGACCCAGGTCCAAGGGTGGCTGGGTCCATAGTGACCAGCTGCACCTTGCAGCGGGGTGGTGAGTGTTTCACCTGAGAAGGACACAAAGCCTCCAGCCCAACACCCCCAGGGCCTTGGCACCATCCCTATCTCCAACTCCAGGCACGTGCCGGGACGTTCACTGCCCAAAAGCAACGACAATCTGCATTGTGCAGAGCTCAGAGTTTACCACGAGCTGCTTAATGGTTATCTTATTTAATTCTTAATATATTCACAGCTTCAAAATGAAATTGAAAAACTCTGTTTTTTAAACTCTGGAGTTAAGCTAAATAACCACAAACTTTTATGACTATTAGTTAAAATGATGGAAGTGAAAGTCACTCAGTCGTGTCCGACCCTTTGCAACCCCATGGACTGTACAGTCCGTGGAATTNTGGAAAGATATGTGAGAAACCTTGTTATACAGGAAAAATAGAAAGCACTACAGAAAGTTTTATGAAATCTCTGAATAGATATTTAATATTTATAGAAGTTGAGAAATTAGGTTACACTTGTTGGAGAAATATATGTGGGAGCTTGCATTTAGACAAACATGAAAGTGTGTTAGTCACTCAGTTATGTCTGAGTCTTTGTGAACCCTTGAACTGTAGCCCACCAGGCTCCTCTGTCCATGGGATTTCCCAGGCATGAATACTGGAGTGGGTTGCCATGCCCTCCTCCAGGGGATCTTCCCGACCCAGGGATCAAACCCAGGTCCCCCACTCCGCAGGCAGATTCTTTCCACTGAGCCACTTGGGAAGCCCCTACTGAGTCTAACGATCCACCTCTATCGAAAACAAGGAGACGAAGGCTCAGAGAGGTTAAATAAAATGCCCGAGAGCAATCGCCTGGCAAACAGCAAAGCAGGGATTCAAATCGGGTCTGTCAGAAACCCAAAGCACCTGTTCTTTTCCGATCATCCCACTACCTCATGTCTAAGCCGATCAAGTCATGTCAGCCAGGAGTTGTCAGACATCAGGATTAAACACCTTTCTTTGCACAATAAGGAAATCTTTTCTGCACTGCACTCAGTGTATCCCTTCCCATTAGTGAAGGCACAAAGAGGCTCTCTGGAAAAGAAGGCTGTCTTGACTCCCAAAAATAAGACATTCCTGTTTGACTTTTACTAAGCACTTTTGCCACACTGCAAGTCTAGAGTGAGATCGGACTTACACTGCTGGAAGCTTCAGAAAAGATATTCCACACCTGCTCCAGGATAGATTCATTATGAACTTTTAAACTGTTCTTCATCCAATTCTGTATGGGGGAAAAAGAAAAAAGAAAAAAAACCCACTTATCCCGTATGCTGACAGGTACACATAAGCTGTCACTGAAGTGCCCACATCCCCTCCAGTCAGGGAAGTCCAGTCAAATACATACCTGAAATTTTGCCCTTTTCCTGGGAACGTTGTCAAAACCACTAATTTGCTCTAACAGTTCCCTCACTTTGGGGCTGACATTGGGTCTTTTTATTAATTCATGAATTTTCTACAGAAAAGATAAAAGCAATAAACAGTCGACAGATGAGTTTCATGAAAGTCAAACTACTGGGTTTACACCTCAAGTCCAGATTCTATGTTAATGTCTATGTTTACAGATTCAACAGAGTGCTGAAGTCCAGAGCAATTTATTGTTGTTGTTCAGTCGCTAAGTCATGTCTGACTTTTTGCGACCCCATGGACTGCAGCCCGCCAGGCTTCCCTTTCCTTCACTACCTCCCGGAGACTAAGGCAAGAAATAAAACACATCCACATTGGAAAGAAACAAGTAAAATGACCTCTGTTCCCAACAACATGGTCTTACATGTCCAAAACCCAAAAGATTTCACAGAAAGAATCTTTAGGACTAATTAAGTTCAGGGGGTGCCGGATACAAAAATCAACACTTAAAAATCAAGCTGCATTTTCCTACACTAACAAAGAACAAACTGGAGAGGAAATTAATAAACAATTCCACTTATAATACTATCAAAAAGAATAAGACGCTTAGGGATAAACTTAACCAAGCAACGAGGCAAAAGACATATATACTGAAAACTAAAAAATACTGCTGAGAGAAATTAAAGAAGATACAAGCAAATGGAAAGACATCCCATGTCCAAGAACTGTAAGATGTCAATACCACTTAAAGAGATGTTCAGATGTAAGGTTCAGATGTAACCTCTATCAAAAGATGAAACATTTCTGGAGATGGATGATGGTGATGGATGTACAACACTGTGAATGTACTTAGTTGCATAGGATGCATTAATTCTTGGCTTCCTAGGCTTCTCAAGAAAGCAGGTGACAGATGAAGCTCCTTGATGAATTAGGAAGACCTTACCTGAATCCATGCCTGCTGTTTAACATCGCCTTTGTGGGTTTTACCTTCATACCCTTTGCCACCATACTTCTGATCTTCACTTATGCATTTCACGTGGTTTTTATAGTCATCACCCCTTAAAGTGAGAAAGTTCCACCATTAGAGTGATTCCCAAATCGGAGTCTCTGTGTAAAGCTAGCACGCAGTCCACACTTACCTTTCCATCTGTGCTCTGCTCGGCCACCCCACCCCTTTCACTTACTATGTTGATAACCTCCTGGTCACATCACATTTTCCTTCTTGCCAACTGTTCAAATCCCACCATCAAACTTTCCACCCATCCACCCAAATGTCTTAAAATCATATTGATAGGCAGTATTTTTTTTAAGTCACAAGCAAATAGTCTCTAAATAAAAAAGAATTCTTTGCAACAGGGTGGCTTTATCTTAAATTACAATGCCGGTAGGGTTTCCTGGTAATATACAGCGGGCAATCAATAATTAGCTGTAGACTAAGTTAAAAGGTGGTATAAAATAGTCGTATCAGGTCATGAGAAAGTTCTGGATCTTGGGAGTCTTGGGAAAAAAGGACACTTCTTTCTTATATGATTGTTCTGAAGCTCTACAGGGTCCTCAGGGAAAAGCTGGGACAAGGTCGGGGCAAAGTCCCTTAAGGAGAGACAGCCCAGTTTTCACCTGTTTCTGTATATCCTTCCTCCTAGGATTAGGTAAGAACAAAGACTTAGCAGTTTCCAGACATTTTTTTTTTAAATCACTGCTTTAGAATGAAATTAAAAGAGACTGTTTGCAAATATCCCTCAAATGCCACAGAGGCCAGTAGGGCCCACGTGCCAAAAGCTGAACCCTCTGAAGCTGAAGGCAATCAGCGCAAGAATGAGATTAGCCAACTGCAGACGACGCTCCCCGAGAAACATGGATGGGCGGGATCCATGCCACCCCCTCCTCTCAGCCTTCCCCTCTCCAGAGACCCCTTCCCTGGGAGCACCTGACACACTCAGGACCAGGAGCGTCACTCCCTCCGTCACCTCTGGTTTTCTGGGGGAGCACCGAGTCTCTTCTCCGAGGTATCTCCACTGGTAATGAATAACTTCATTTTCTGGTCTGTAAATCCAGCGCTTCCCTGTTATCAGCACACCACACCGGAAACCCTGCTCAGCATGCTCACCTCCCTGGGTGCGCTAATGGTGCCAAGGACAGGACAGCAAGTGCCATGGACTCATCAGATTAAGACCAAACCCACGACTCCCTTTTATTCTGAGTCTTCTCTTTGTATCACCTTTAAAGAGCAAACAGTCCTGGCAGGCACTACATTTTTTCTTAATTTTCTTTTCTCAAATTTGCTCTTGCTCTCTCTCTTTTTTTTTAATGCTTTGTGGAACCAACGATCACATAACTGGTCTGGACATTTAGTACAGATCCACATGGACTTACCAGAAGTCTTTGCCACAGTCGATGCAGGAAAGACATTCACAGTTTCGGCAGACAGCCACGTGCTTTTCCACTTGTACCTTCTTCACTGATTCACCACATGCATTGCATGTAAAAAATACCATTTTTAGCTAAATAATTAATTTTTTTTTTTTTTTACCCCAGATGGGTTTTAAGCCCTGTCCTAAAAAAAAATTAAAAAGGAAAAAAGATAATTATCATTGTAATGTGAAACTTCTTTTCCAAATATATGACTCAGACAGCTAACTCTTCACATGAAAATAACACAATAGAATCAAAGCTGATTCGCAATCTACATAAACCTTTACCATCACATACGTAAAACTGTATTCAACAATACCACGGCTAAAACTGGTTGAATATGTGCTCACCACAAGCTGGGCTTTATTCTATGAGCTTTACATATGTGGACTTCAACGCTCACAGCAACCCTATGAGGGAAGGACTATAGTCGTTCACAATTTACACGTGGTATTGGGACTCAGACTAAAGAAGCTGTCCAAAGTCATGCAGTAGCAGAACCAGGATTTAAACCTGGCAGGCTGCCTCTAGAGATGAAGTCTGGGGACGTTTCCAATAACTTTAACTGCACACAGGCAGTCTCCTTCTCTCTACTGCCTCTAGGTGAGCACTGAAAAGTGCGCCGAGTCCCCAAATACAATAAGGACACAGCCAAAGGGGAATCAAGGAAGGTTTAGAAAGTGGAGAAGAGGCCTAAAAATCATTCCTATAAGCACAAACAGCACCCATACAGGCATAACCATGTATCCACAGGTGTTAAAAATGCGGATGTGCGCCTCAGTTTCAGTGGACGGGAGCAGGAGTGGCCCCCTGTTGGATCAATCAGAAACCACAGAACCCTTCCAGGTATCCCAGTGCTGGGTGCTGAACTACTGGAGTGGGCTCCCAAACCCAGCCGTCCGGAGCACTGCTCCATGATTCAGTGGGTCCACACCTACACATAACTACTGTTTAAAAAGTTCATGGAGGTGCTACTGCCCTCAACAAAACACAAATTCATTTAAAAGTGTGCCGGAAATCACTGTAATTTTCCAAGATTCAGTTCAGTTGCTCAGTCATGTACGACTTTTTGCAACCCCAAGGACTGCAGCACACCACGCTTCCCTGTCCATCACCAACTCCCGGTACTTGCTCAAACTCATGTTCATCGAGTCGGTGATGCTACCCAACCATCTCATCCTCTGTTGTCTCCTTCTCCTCCTGCCTTCAATCTTTTCCAGCATCAGGGTCTTTTCCCATGAGTCAGTTCTTCGCATCAGGTGGCTAAAGCATTGGAGCTTCAGCATCAGTCCTTCCAATGAATATTCAGGACTGATTTCCTTTAGGATTGACTGGTTTGATCTTGCAGTCCAAGGGACTCTCAAGAATCCTTTCCAACACCACAGTTCAAAATCATCAGTTCTTTGGCACTCAGCTTTCTTTAAGGTCCAACTCTCACATCCATACCCGACTACTGGAAAAACCATAGCTTTGACTAGATGGACCTGTGTCAGCAAACTGATGTCTCTGCTTTTTAATATGCTATTTAGGTTGGTCATAGCTTTTCTTTCAAGGAGCAAGCGTCTTAATTTCATGGCTGCAGTCATCATCTACAGAGATTTTGGAGCCCAAGAAAATAAAGTCTGTCACTGTTTCCATAGTTTTCCCATCTATTTGCCATGAAGTGATGGGACCCAATGCCATGGTCTTAGTTTTCTGAATATTGAGTTTTTTGTTTTTGTTTTTTTTTTTCTTTTTTCTGAATGTTGAGTTTTAAGCCAGCTTTTTTACTCTTCTCTTTCACCTTCATCAAAAGGCTCTTCAGTTCCTCTTTTCTTTCTGCCATAAGGGTGGTGTCTGTCATCTGCATATCTTAGGTTATTGATATTTCTCCTGGCAATCTTGATTCCAGCTTGTGCTTCATCCAGCCCAGCATTTCACATGATGTACTCTGCATATAAGATAAATACGCAGGGTGACAACATACAACCTTGACCTACCCCTTTCCCAATTTGGAACCAGTCTGTTGTTTTAGGTCCCGTGTTGCTTCCTGACCTGCATACGGATTTCTCAGGAGGCAGGTAAGGTGGTCTGGTATTCCCATTTCTTGAAGAATTTTCCAGTTTGTTGTAATTCACACAGTCAAAGGCGTTGGTAAAGTCAATAATGCAGAAGTAGATGTTTTTCTGGAATTCTCTTGCTTTTTCTATGATCCAATGGATGTTGGCAATATGATTGCTGGTTCCTCTGCCTTTTCTAAATCCAGCTTGAACATTCGGAAGTTTCAGTTCACGTACTGCTGAAGACGTGTTTGGAAAATTTTGAGCATTACTTTACTAGCATGTGAGATGAGTACAATGGTGCGGTGGTTTGAGCATTCTTTGGCATTGCCTTTCTTTGGGATTGGAATGAAAACAGCTTTTCCAGTCCTGTGGCCACTGCTGAGTTTTCCAAATTTGCTGGCATACTGAGTATAGCACTTTAACAGCATCATCTTTTAGCATTTGAAATAGCTCAGCTGGAATTTCATCACCTCCACTAGCTTTGTTCTTAGTGATGCTTCCTAAGGCCCACTTGACTTCGCATTCCAGGATATCTGGCTCTAGGTGAGTGATCACACCATCGTGGCTATCTGGGTTATTAAGATCTTGATTTTTTTAATCACTAGATTGTCATTTTACATTATAAATAAGTTTCACAGCAGAAATACTGAGAACAAATGTTTAACCCAGCATGTTCTTCCTCATCATGAAGGTAAGGGTCAAGTACACGAATACAGTTTGTTCAGGGTTAAGACTTCATTTGAGACTCCTCTGGCACAAATGAGAGACTACTCCTGGTTCGTGGAAAATTCTCGTGCACGAGGTCACCATCTCTCCTGCACTCCCACCTTCTGAGTCACTGCTAGACAGGACAAACCTAAGAAAGGAGCAGGGCTATTCCCATCCATTCAGCCTCGAATGAAAATGTACACCCTGGCTGCAACTCCATTGTTTACAGAGGCTCAGCTGGTCTCTCTTGGAGGTCTCTTGCCCTGCAGTTTGCCTAATGTGCTACATATAAAACGTGGGCCCCTGACCCAGGGACCCCTTCTTCAGCTCTCCATCAGCATTACATGGGGTCAGTAACAGCTGAGCAGCAAATCCCAAGGAAAGAAAGCCTGACTGTTCTGGGATGCGCACCAACCAAGAGCAGCTTCTCACCTGGTTACGGTGAAAGACATAAGAGAACAGTCACAGGTACGGGGGAGTTGGTCTCCCTTGGACTGTGACCCACTTCCCCGAAGCCAGCATTCTGCTCTCAGCAGAAGGATGACCAGGTTGCTGGCAGGCAACGAGAGAAGCCGAGCTTCCCTGGTGGCTCAGTGGTAAAGAATCCGCCTGCAAAGCAGCTTTGGTCCCTGGGTCAAGAAGAGGCCCTGAAGAAGGAAATGGCTAACCCACTCCAGTATTCTTGCCTGGAGAATTCCATAAACAGAGGAGTCTGTCGGGCTACAATCCATGGAGTTGCAAAAAGAGTTGGAGATGACTGAACGCACATGCATACAAAGGCCACTTTGGTTTCAATACCAGAGTAAACCATAGTCACCAAGAGATGGACTGCCATCTTATACACAAGGTGGAAGCAGCTGGGACAAACTAAATTACCTGCTGACAATGTTGAGAGTACTTTCACAATGAGAGTCAACCATGAAAAAATACCCCCTCAAACTGCAGCAATGGCCTAGAGCTTTCCAGCCTTCATTTTTGAGGTCTATCCTGTATCTTGTTTGAGGAAGAGAGGGGAGGGGAGGAAGGTTTCGGCAAGCTATGAGATCCAGTTGAGAGATGCAGCCCGCCAGGGAAGGTCAGAAATTTAAAAGGTCTGAGAAGGACGGCTGGATTTCTCAGACTGAATAAAATTTCTCGACTGAATGAAGCCAGTGATGTTGACAAAAAAAGATGCTCGGCATATCTGTGCAAAACATGTCTTCTCTCTGGTGATTAGCCACACACAGAGTCAACATCAATTGAGGAGAGAATTAGAATTTGGTCGCATGTACATCAGAAAGATACCTCTCCAATCGTTTTCATTTGGTCTTTTGTGGCATATGCTCACATTCAGAAATCTATTGGGATTTTTTTCAAAGATAGAATGGTAGCTTGCACAGTAAGCTGGAACTCAGTCTCCCAGGGTCTTCCCCTGGATTTTTAGAGCCACGGCTGCATACTGACGCTTGATCTGCACCGCGGACAGTGTGGCCGCCTGCCCGCAAAGGAGATAAGCTCTGTAAGGAACTTACCCGTCCCTCTTCACCCAGCCCTCCAGGGAAGTACCTTTCTTTTGTGCCGTAAACACTGGTATGTGTGTCTGCGGTGGAAGAAAGGGGCTGCAAACAACCTCAAGCTCAAAACCATCCAAACTGTACAGCAGACTAAAATGTGGCAAATATTAGTGCAGGCTTGACAATTTCAGAAGTGGACATGCTACAAACTTACAGAAAGACACCCCTGTGAAAATGGAGCCCCTCCAAATGAAAACAGCAAGCACCTCCTGTTGTACCCGGATCTGGGAATCCCACCAAACACCACAGGAGCCACGGACAGATGCAAAAGCAGCGAGGAACTTTATTACAAGCTCGAGCAGGGACTCCCTCCACACAACCTAATGGCCATGTGACAGAGCCCCGAGTGATGGCAGCCATCTATTTTTATACCATATGGTGGGGAAAGCGGGGAGCTTAAGGGGATTGGTTAGTTCTTTAACTAAGGATGTCTTCTTAGCTACTGATTGGTGGGTTAGAGTAAGGGGGTAAGGGACTTCCTGTCCTCTGCTGATTGACTCATTTGAATTTCTTTGTCTTTTCTCCTTCTTCGGGGAAGTTCAGCTCAAAATGGCGGTATTATCTTAAAATGGAGTCGTTTGAATTTTACCTTTCACATTTCACAAAGGCATATGAATCATGGGTTAACTTTGATTGTATCTTTCTTTTCCTTTGTTCAGACTAGCTTCAGGGAATTTGGGGAGGTGGGTTTGGGCACGTACACTTAGGGTATATAAGGTTTTCAGAGAAACTGGTTGGGGTCCTTGGCTAAGAGAAGACTCTGCCTTGGGCCCGCTGGTGTAATAAACTGCACTCCACTATCTGCATTGTCCTTCTGAGTGAGTCTGATTCCCAGAACGTGCGGCTACAACATTTGGTGCATGGGCCAGGAAACTCCTCACTCTGAGCAGACAAGTCCCATTGGGACTACTCCAAGGCCTTGCGGCTTGAATCTTCTAGAGGGGAGAAGGCACCTCGCCCTTCTGGAAGGATTCTGCTTCTCAACGCCTGGACCTTTCACGTTAGCATGTAGTGGACGGCAGCAGGGGAACTGAGCGCTCAGGTGAGGAGGAACACACCCGGTAGGGTGAAAGAGGGGGCCTGATCACCCCCTGGGAGGGATTAGAAGGGGCACAGACACACAGGAGCCTGGAATAGGCAGGTGGCAACGATTGCTTGGTACACAGGTTGACAAGCGTGTTAGGGCTTAGGAAGGAAATTTGTGAAAGTCATTTAGAAGGTGGTGTCCATGCTGTCTTGGGGAAAATTATTACCAAGAAATTCCCAGAGGATTTTTAGGAGAAGAAACTTGGTTTTTGTGTGCTCATATTCTGCCCTCCCCAAGGAGGTGTCCCATCTGCTATGAAATTCTTGACCCCCTTGGAATTGTCAGGCTAGAAGGAGGGGGATACATAAGTGAGTACGAATTGGCTTTTCCGGAGACGGCCTGGGACGTGGGATATTTAACCCATCTGTATTTTCATCCCCACCTCATCAAGCCCACCAAGGCAGAATGGACTTTAAAAGTTAAGGGGAAAACAGTCTTGGACCACGTGGTGTTCTGGTTCGGCTGTGCTCCAAAGCTGTGCCGGCCTCACCGGCAGGTGAAGACACACCGATGCCCCTTCTCCCTCTGGGACCTGGCAGTGCTCCCCCAGGATCGGGGGCCGCCTTAATGCCCCATCCAGGGCCAGGTGAAGTTCCTGCAGCAGCCACTGCTCTTCCACCAGCTCTCCCGGAGTTCGTAGAGCCACCGTTTCAGCAGGCTCCAATCCCAGCAATGGAGACCTCGGGTCAGTGCCCCCAGAATTCCAC